TGTTCACACGGAATTCACGATAAGGCTACTTATCTTCGCTTTAAAATATATGCATGGTAATTTAATACTGATGAGAGCAATAACGTATGCATATGGTGAATTCACAGCGAGCAATTTTCATGCATATGCACGTACATACATATGTATGACTAATTAGAGTGGAGCGGAAAAAACATTTTTTCTTTTTTATTTCCAAATTCTAATGGTGCAGAAAAGTTGCAAATATGATAATATTGCGCCGTTGTAAATCGTTTTCCGATCGGAAAATATTTACGGTCACTCCTAAAGCCTCAAAGTTTCGAAAAATCTCTCAATTTATGGTTGTTTATTATTATTTTTAATTAAACTGTAGTACAACAAAGTGCAAGTTTCAAATTGCTCAAAAATGCCATGGATTATTTATTGGTAATTTTTTAGGAGACAGTGTGTGTGAGAACCATAATTTGAGAGATTTTTCGAAACTTTAAGGCTCTTAGGGCGATCGTAAATAGTATCGATTGGAAAACAGTTTAACATGGTTCAATGTGATCAAGTTACGCTACTTTTCCGCGCTATTAGAATTTCGAAATCAATTTTTTTTTTGCTCCACTCTAATACTAATGTGCAAGTGTACAGCATTAATGCATATGCAGGCAACATTTGCTGAGTTTAATTAGCCGAAATTGTGAACATTTTTAACATTGACTCTAAATGTGTGGTATACAATAGCTTAATTAAAATAATCAAATGATAGAAGTATTTTCTCGTGAAATCTAAGTTACATTTGAAATCCTTGCAGTGAAACACTTTCTACCACAAATTTATTTAAATGTCTATGTACATATTTACTTACCAATAAACAAGCGGTATTTAAATATCAATTCACTAAATTACCTACCTAAGTTATATATTACTTAGTAAAGTTAACATTACGCATTGAATGCAAAAAAAATAGTCATTTCTTAAGTAAGTTAGCAATGCGTTGCTATTTAGCGGTTAATAAAAACAAATGATGTATATTTTAATAAACTTATTGTATAATGGGACTTGGCATTACATACATATGTATTTGCAATGCAAATTATAAAAAAGGACAAAAATACCTACTGGAATCATATTCAAGGCTATCGCTATTTCGAGAAATCGAGGAAAATGCTATCACTAAATTCGAATAGCTACGAACGTAGCATACACATATGTTTTTGCATTAGGGTGCCTCACCAAAAAGGGGTTGCGGTTTTTCCACCGGAGTTATAAAATTATATAGTGAGTGTTCATATTTACCTCGTTATCAGGTTATTTGGTTAAAATTATTATTCTATAGTTCATTTTATTGTTGTAAACTGGATAAAAAAATATAACAACATAACCCGATAACCTGATAAACAGACAGGTGTGAACACTCACATTATATTTTAGAACTTTCCCTAAAATATTTCGGAAATATATTGAGGTGGTTAACACTTACCTGGTTATCAAGTTATGTGGTTATATTTTTTACTCAGTTTACACTACACAATAATAATTTTTAACCAGATAACCGGATAACCAGGCAAGTGTGAACAACCTCATTAAGATTTAAGTTCTACCCAGAATTACAGCGATCGACAGTTAACCGCTGTCAAAATTTGACTTACACAAAGGCATATGGAATGGCTCATAACTGCGACAGCAGCGTTTTTTTACCGCCGACGTTGTTCGGTTGATATAAATTTGTTTCTATTTTTACCGCCCACACACAAGTATTCCAATGTTTTTATCCATTTTTATTTACAGCAAATGTACATGCACGCACGAACCAAAAAAATATTTAATTTTAATGATAATTTTCAAATCAAAATGACAACTGTCGAAAGCCGTCATGCGCCGCAATTGTGTTTACTCTGACGGATTTCACTACGGCAACTGCACACCTGTTCACTGACCGCTGTCCGCATTACCGTCGTCCGCTGTAATTCTGGTTAGAGCTTTATGTGTACTGGACCGTTTTGAATATACATAATTCTAAAAACTTCATTATTTTGATTCTGTTGATACAATTTTTAATGATTTTTATGTAGGCGATTTCAACTTAAGCTTTTCCATCATCTAAGATGAGTTTTCGGAAATATATTTCTAAAAACTAATTTTATTTATAAAAAAATCAGATTTTCCGATGCATTTTTCAAATTCGTCCGTTCGCTCACGTAAATCTTAATATCCTACCGAAACATTTTTGCGAAACTAGTAAAATATAGTGGGAGTGTATACACCTGTGGTTATGTGCTTATATGTATTTTTGATTCAGTTTACAGTCAGTTTTTAACCAGGGCTCGAATCGTCACATACGCTATCGTATTACTCGTCACATTAGAACACATTTTTCAAATTATGACGTACGTGAACGTACTCTTTGTCTCATTCAGCTTATACTGCCTGACGTATACGTAATTTTCTTTCGTATGGTTTTCGATCCGTGAACGAATGTTACGATTTGAGCCCAGATAACCACGCAAGTTGAACACATAATATATAATTTTATAAACCATATAAACAGTACCACTTTTTTTAATGATGCGCCCTAATGTACATACATATATTTACTTTGAATACTCGTGGCAATTCGAATTCAGTGATGGCGTTTCCGTAGATTTCATGAAAATCGGACTACTACGGATTCAGATATAGCCCCGATTCATACGAGTAATAATTGTTTAGGTGAAATATTATTTTAATTTAAATTATTAATACAAAAAAATAATAATAATTACCATTCTACGTTTGTCTAATCAAGTTTAAATATATCTAATAAAAAGAAAATGAAAATCACTAAAATGACATGCATATGCATGCGTTTATTTGATGGCGGTGGGTCTTTTATAGCCGACATCGTCATTTTACACAGGCCGTATCAGCTGTCAGGTAGTATGGTTGGAGGTGCATGTGAATAGGTGCTGGGTGTTGTGCGGACCTTGCCGACATGCTGTTGAGCGCCGTTCTGTATATAGCTGTGTCAAACGGATGATCTACGTACAGTTCGATGTGAATGGCTTCCAGTTATCCCAGGATACCAGGCTGGTCCCATACTAATTTGGTTTAGTTCCGATCATTGTGTCATGAAGAAATTAACCTTACTCATATAATTTTTATAGTCGTAGTGAAGTCGGTTTTTTTTTTTGCTTCAAAATTACTTGTTTCAGATTTGTATCAGAATTTTCTTTAAGAAATCGTACAGAAATTACTTTACGTTGTAGAATTCGTAACAAACTTCCGATACTCTTAAAGGTTCCTTTACGATTTCGTTAACTTTGTTATGCGGAGATATTCCATAAAAATGCGGTCATAAGCAATAACTGCCTAAGGGCCGATTTCTCAAGTAACCTGTAACTACAAAGCTCAATTTATTTTGAAAGGGTTTAAATTGCTTTACACAACATAGATACGTTAAAAACCGATAAGAGAAATGCTTATCTTTATTAGACATAGCTTTATTTTTAATCCAACCTTTAAATATAAAGTGAGCTTTAAAGTTAAAGGTTACTTCAGAAAACGGCCCTAAGTCGAAAAACATGAATTCGAGAAAAAAAACGTAGCTGGCGAAATGGGGATTCCACACATACGTGGAATAGTAGTGCAGAATACGATAGCATATTTAACTCGATTCTTTCTTAAGGCGACTTAGGCGGTTATTGCTTATGACCACAGAAATAATGGCATTCGTGGGCCTTTCAAAAAACTAAAAAAAAAAAGAATTATCGTTTATACCTCACACTCAGCTTATTTTATTCCATTCCCCATCCTTAATGGAAAACCCTTTAGATAAAATTGTACTAGCGCGCCGTATATTTTTCGCCCGGGCGCGCGTCTCAGATTAACTAAGTGGTAAGTACTATTACTGTATAGAAGACGCAAATATAAGCATATTTTTGTTTTAAAAAATTATTTATTATTAAATTTGTTAATATTTACGTTTTCATACAATTATAATGTATATTCAAATTATTAATCGATAGCGTTGCTAATATTTTCTCTTACGAAATCATTTGTGATCTACATTATGTGATTATACATACATACATATATTATTTGTGGTAATCTTTGCTTACAAAAGAAAGTGAATAATGCTTCTCTGTTTCACACATATATGTATGTACTTAGTTTACAAATTTTTAAAGAATTGCCATTCACCAAAATCTTTAGCATAAGTAATACATTTTTTTATAAAAAGCTTTTTGATTTTGTCTTGGTGCGAATGAAACTGATTTTCGTTCAAACTACAGGCGACTAACGCGCGAGAGTACACAGTAAAACTAAACCTTATATGTGTATATTGGAGCATTTTTTACATTCATGTACGTATGTATGTAAATATTACATCTGCAATCATTATAATTTAGACATGAAGAAATGATTATGAAAATACATACCCCCCGTTTCACTTGAATAGATCCATTTTTTCCTGGACTTGAAGGCACCGGAGAAGCTTCTTTTTAATCTCATTTCAAAGACTGATCAATTTTGAACCACGAAAAGGTAAAAAAAAAGAAAACGACGACTTATGTAGTTGCCTCTTATGTAACGTTTAGTTAAACAGCATTAAACAATTGATTTTTTCTGAATTTAGATTCAGATATCACTAAGCTCACATGGACCAAACGAAATTTGGGAAGAATTTTAAAAATTATTATCGACCGCAATCCAAAGAGTACGTTTACGTATGTCATAATCCGAAAAATGTGTTTCACTTGACAACTAATGCGATATCGTATGTGACGATTCGAGCCCGGGCCCTGCATTGTATGGTACACGAAATGTAGAAAAAACAAGAAGGCAATACACAATTAAAGAATATCCTTGGTTAGATCAGCTTCTTAAGATTACACAGGCCGAGAAAAATGGGGGAAAAAATTGTTGCGGCAGATGTCAAAGCTGTTTTTGACAGACTTTTTGGTGCTGATTATGTATCCGCAAGCTTAAAGTTTCCATAATCCCCAGATTTTAAGAAAAACGAGTTCAAAGTGTCAAAGAATCGCGTTTTTTGCAAGCTCTAGCAAAGAAACAAAGTGTGATAGAGCCTTCCACTAAGGCCTAAATTAAAGCTAGAACTCTCGATACTATCTCTGAAGATACCATCCGTGCACCTTGACTTGATAGTCACTTATAGGCATTTATTTATAGTTTAGTCCCTGCCGCATTTAAATAAATGATTATTTAGGCTTAAATTAAAGCTTGAACTTTCGACTACGATTCCAAAAAATACTATCCTTGCATATTGACCCTAAGGTCACTTATAGCCATTTATTTAACAGCAATACCGGATTTTGACACAATTTTTGGTTTTCAATAGCAAAATTGTCCAGGATTTGTTTGTTAAATGACTATAAATGGCCTTAGGATCTATGTGCAGTGATGATATTTTTAAGGATTGTATTCGAGAGTTCTAGCTTTAATTTAAGCCTAAGTGGAAGATTCTATCACCTTTTCTTTTTGTGCTAGAGCTTCCCAAATATTGCAAAAACGCGATTTTTCTACAGTATCTTACACGTTTTTCTCAAAATCTGGAGCTGGTGGAATCTTTATACTTACGGATTCGTAATCAGCACAAAAAAGTGTATCACAAACAGTTTCAACATTTCCCTGAATCCTAATGAAAAAATGTGTCGGTTTAAGTGAAGCGAGATGTATATAGGGGTACATAAATAAATTCATATGCATACACATATGAAGGGGTTAGAATCATAAGGGCCTAAGTGACATTTTTTGATAATATAAGTTATACCCATATTTGTTAAGTTAAATAGAGTGTTTATTCGTTGCCAAAGAGAATTAGTTAATTAACCTGCATTCATTTAGGCAAGAATCATTTCAAATGCATTTACCCAGAATTTACAATAAGTAATCAACTTTAACCTTAATTATCTCAAAATAATGCCAGACCTACTTAGATCCTTTTGATTCCTGCCTCTTCATATGTGTCTGTATTTGTATGTCTACAAATTCAAGCACATTTATGCATATCTACACATGTACATATGTATTGCAAGCGAATCTGTGTGACCCTATGCTTAGGTCACAATTGGATTTGCAAGAAATACACAAATTCGGAGGCGAGAATGAATCAAATTTTAAATACACTCAGTTAAAGGAAACGCTTTGTAGCGTTTCTCGTTCCTATTAAGTATGTATGTAAATTTTAAATGAAACAAACTTAAGCTAACACATGTTTAAACATATACAAAAGTAAACAATTGAAATATAGAAGCTTAAATACATACATAGATCTTATTGCGCCACTTATGCATTGAAATAGTTAACGAGAAACCAAACGATATGAAAATATTAAAACCAAGTAATTGTATGTTTTGCAAATAATTACCTTAAACTAATTGAACTCTCACTATTTAAAACCTTCTTCATTGCTCAATTTAGTTTTCATGTTATGTCTTCCGTTTTTATCTCAACTACCGCCGCATTGCTTTGCTCAGCGACGGGATTTGCAGTAACAACGTTCGCTTCGAACGTGTTCGCGATATTCGTAGAAGAAACATCGTCTTGTTGTTCTCGTTCGATGTTTGCATTGTTGTTATTTTCGGCGATTTCATTTATGTTACTATCGTCGAGCATAAATGGGCGATTAATCAATGTACTTTGGCTCAATGCACCGATGCTGCCGCTAGCACTGCCGATGCCGCTACCGCTGCTGCTACCAGCACCACCGATGCTTTCGTTACTGCTACTGCAACTTTTCTCACATTCGGGATCATTGAGTCGCATACTACTTCCTGGTGGAGTTTCGGTGTATTGAGCTTGCTGTTGCTGCAATTGCGCTTCAGCTACGCACTCATTCATAAGATTTTCAGTCTCTTCGACGTTTTGTGTCGCCTCAATGACTTCTAGTGTTAGTCGTTGAATGGCTTGCGCTTCGACGACTTCGTGATTGAGAACGTTTTGGGCCTCTTCGACTACGTTTTCAGGATTTGGTTGAATCGAGATATCCATGTCTACGTTCGTATTGGGGTTAAACATTATCTGCATTGTATTTAGTGCGTTCACTGGTTCTGAACCATCATTAGAGAATGGTTGTGCGTTAAGAAGCGAATCTTTATCTTGATTTATCTCCAAGCACAATGTCTGAGCTGTTGATGTGAAATCCATTGATTCATCAGTCATACTCATATGTGCTGCTCCATCTAATAAATTAGTTCCACCGTTTTCATCCACATCGTCAACTTGCATAGTTTCCACGTCAGAAACCGACAAATTTTCGATCACTCCATATTCACTCATTGCCTCTTCTTCTGCATGTTTTGAAAAATCATTGAAATTTACCGAGCAGCCAGCCATGACACTGGATATTTTAAATGTAGGCGCTGCGATAGGCAGCTCAATTACAGCATTTGAGAACCCAGTCTCCACCAACGGGGAGTCTCTGTCAATTAATGATGAAAATTGATTAGACACGCCACAATTTGCTTGGCTGTAAATGCCTGTTATCATAAACGGCGGCGGCAATTCTGCTTCAGTTGATTTTGAAGAATTGTCTGTTAGTAGCGTACTAGCAGCATTTTCTATTGCTGAAATGGCAGTCATATTTTCTTCATTAGGACATGTAAAGCTAACTCTATTCAATTCGCACTGTAATTCTTCCCCATACACGTTTTCTCTTTCAGGGATTGTAGATAATATTGACGGCAACTGAAGTGCGTCTTGACCCTCTGTTGACAACAGTGGCGGTAACTCAGGTGCCTGTTGCTCCCCTGTTAACAACAGGGGTGGCATTTCTGGTGTTCCCCGCTCTTCTGTGGACACCAGTGACGGCAACTGAGGTCCTTCTTGCTGCTCTGTTGACAACAGGGCAGGCAACTCAGGTGCCTCTTGCACTTCCCCTGACAACGGCGGCGGCATCACGGAAGTTTCTGGCTCCTCTGTTGACATTAGTGACGGCAACTCCAGTTCTCCTTGCAGCTCTGCTGACACCGGCAGCGGTATCTCGGGAGTTTCTGGCTCCTCTGTTGACAACAGTGGCGGCATTTCAAGTTCGCGATACTCACGTTTTTCTTCTTCTTCTTTCTTAACGCCTACCCAATCATCATCATCATCATCATCCTCATCATCATCATCGTCATCTTCGGTTTCTTCATTATCCATACTATCAGTATCCTCCTCATTTCCAGAATATTGAGATTCTTCGCCATTCGAACGTTTACGTTTCATACCGTTTGGTATGGCGCTTGTGACGATGTGTGTATTTGTCATTTCCACGTCCGATAAATCAAGATCCTTTTCTTGTTTGATTTGTATAGTTGAGAAATCAATATTATTCAAATACTCTTGCTCCGTCAATTCTCCCATCGACAATCCTTCATTTAGAGGCTCTACTTGTGGCTCGGATGAATTTGTAGCTGCTTCGTAAGCGTTGAACACATCCTCATAACCACGATCAACTGGTTCAGGTTTTATTTTAATTTGAGCATAGTCTACAATATTACTTTCATTGGAGGTAACAATTGTGTTTACATTGTTCTTGCTAACTCCTGAAGTTGATTTGAATGCCTTTGCTGCCCGTGCTTGCGTCGATGGCCGCGGTTTTTGTTCTGGCGCCTTATGCTTGACTGCTTTAGGTGCGCTTCTAGGAGCCTTTCTTTGCACCATTTCACCGACACTGGTAATTGAATTTTCGGCTGCCTGTCCTGGTACCACGCTTGTAGTTGTAGACGTTACGGCGCTTGCAGTTTCGTAAGTGCACTCAATCTCTCGTTCCATCTGCACACCAGAGCTAACGCTTGTTATTTTGAACAAGCGGTCTAACTCAGCTCTGTTCGGTTTGATATCTTCCATCTCTCCCTCATCAGTGGTAATATCTGGTGTGGTGACTGCCGCTGTATCACTGGTCTCTACATCTGCTTCACCTTCGACTGCTGTCGTAGTATTATCTCCAAATTCTACACCACTTGAAATAGCTGATATTTGGAACTGTGGTATAGGTATAGTGGTCATAACAGTTGCGCCCGGCTGCACCGTTTCTTCTGCCCCGCTGCCTTCCATTTCTTCGCCGGCTTCATCCAATCGTTCTTGTTTGATGGGCCGCAAAATGTTTGGATGGGAAAGACTCTGCGAAGTCGCTTCAGATTCCTGCACTGTCGGAATCTCTGGTGTTGGTTCATTTCCATCCAACTAAAATTAAAAAGTTAAATAAAAGTATATTTTGTATATGACATGCAGACTTTTCCAGGCCAGGGCTCGAATCGTCACATACGATATCGTACTACTCGTCACGTAGAAACACATTTTTTGGATTATGACATACGTGAACGTATGTCCCATTTGTCCCATTCAGTATATACTGCCCGACGCGTCACGTAATTTTCTTTCGTATCGTTTTCGATCCGTGAACGGAAGTTACGATTCGAGCCCTGGTTTATATAGTAATGCATCCACTTACCATCTTGTCTCCTTTCCGCTCGGCATCTTTTCGTTTTTTCTTCTTCTTTTTCTTCTCGACACGAATATTTTGCTCCTCTACTATTGATGAATTCAATGTGCCATGTTCCTTTTTAATTTTTAATTTTAATACTGGCATTTTTGCGGCAGGTGTCGTGTTCTCGATTTCAACATCAATCACTTCCTGTTTAATATTTATAGCAGCTGAAGAAATATTCTCCTCTACTGGTTCTTCTTTGATAGCTATTTCGTTAGTACGAGTACTAATTGCTGCATCCTGACCCCTATTTCCTTCGTCATCTTCATCATCATTATTATCGCCATGATGGAAATCATCATGATGAAAGTTGTCATGGTCTGTATCTTCTGATTCTTTTTCTTTATTGGCAGTTTCCTCACCTGTTGCAGCAGGCGTCTCAGCATCCGTTTCTACGTGCACCTCTGGTTCATGTTTAATGCTCACCAGTGCATCCAAAGTGGATTTTAGTAAGTTATCTACCCTTTTAAGATCTTTGCGAGAGACCCCTTTCTTACCACCCTTCTTTGCAGGTGTTTTCGGATCATCTGTTAGTGCTGCAGCACCTTCATTATTATATTCTGCTACACTATTGCCCTGGCTCGCAGCAATTATTTCCGGTGTCGAGATGCGCGTTAGCGACACTACTGGTGCCATGTCTAGCGATATTCCAGCATTTCTTGCGAGTGCTTCAGCAGCAGCTGCTTCCACATCATTTTCGTTTTTAATACGAATAGTGGATTCCGCAGCGGCGGCGGCAGCTGGTATATGTTTAGAGTAATTTAAGTAAACTTTATTACAGTGCGCTGCGTGACGCTGATATTCTACTTCGTTACGCAGCTGACGATTGCAACCAGCACACTTTTTGGTCTTAACTGCGCAAGAGTGTGTATTGTAGAGAAAGTTTGTTAAGAATGTGTGGTGACACTGTGGGCATTCGCGATCAAGTACCCATAGATTTGGCGGTATTTCCACGGTGTGATCCCGAAGATGTCTGCAAATATTGTTTAAGAATATCTCGTTATAATCATAACCATAAAATTCTAAATAATATACGTACCTGGAATATGCATAGGAGCTAATTAATGACTGACCACAATGACCGCACATATAAGGTGTTTTAGATAATTTATGCCATAACTGATGACTTTTGATATCATTGGTTTTCTTTATGGTTTCATTACAGGCTGTGCAAACGTATCGTGGAATGTTTGGCACATGTGTCGCGGACACATGTTGTTCCAATTTTACTTTGCTACCAAAGCGCTGATTGCATATGTTGCACACTTGTCGGAATTTCGTTACACTACTAGGTGCTGTAGTTGGTTTCACGTTCTCCGCAGGCTCTTCTTTTCTGTTAATAAAATTTGTTGGATATAAATGTATGTGCATTTCCCGTAAGTTCCATTATAATGTTTATAATGTGCTGTTTGAATAAATATAGCTGCATCTTTCCTTTGTTACAGTAAAGAGCATAATTTTAACTTTTAGAAATATGTACATACTTACATTTCCTCTTTAGGCTTTACGGTTTTTTCAATCTGTTTTACTGTTTTATCAATCTGTTTCACGGTTTTATCAAAATTCTTTCCTAGTTTTCCTTTCTTTTTAGCATCCGTCGGTGCCTCATTCAAACGTTGTTTTTTGCTGCTGATCGGAACTGGGTTTGTTTCTCGCTTAACTTCCGGCGCTTCTTCCTTAGCTACTACTTCATCTGACTTGCGTTTTCGCCCACGTTTCACAACTGTTTCCTCCTTTATATCAATAATGGGCTTAATGTCCGCAACAACATTCTTTAAAAGTTGAACTCATATAGAAAATGTTAATTTAAATATTTAAATACTTACCTTTTTCTGAGTTTCGCGTTTTAAACCCAGTAACTTTCTAGTCTGTACATCTGTGGCATAACACATTTCACGAAACTCATAAAAATCATTGATTTTATCCACACACAGTACACAAGCGCTTTGAGGCATTTTGTCATCTTTGCTTATCTGTAGAGACATAAAGAATATAAAGTGAACACAACAGATTTATGAACTATTGTTTACTGTGATGCCAATGCATTGTATAATTTTTTGGTGAAGCTTTAATTCGCCATCACAATCCACCGGCTGTTGTTGGTCGGTTGGCCCAGCATCGAGTATTTCAACTTTTTCCTCTCTGTCGATTCCGCAGAGTCGACATATTTTATATAAGTTCGCCTTTAAAGCTTTGTCTATCTTAAATGCAAACGACATCCTCACAGAAACCGAAGTTTTGCCAAGCCGTTGTTAAAAAGTATCGCTCGGGTGTCCACCAAATAAAGGATAATTATGGTGGTGGCCTAATTGGAAAGCCAACAGGCTCACTTTTCCTCGTTTCTGGATATATTTGTTTCACAAATATCATTCGTTAACAACACCTAAGGTTAAATTTCGTTTTATTAAGACATTTTATCAATTAATTTAATGAATTCGTGAAAAATTGAAAACACCACCGCAGAAGAAAAATTATACTCCCAGCCTGTCAACGCTACTGTGAACGTCTTTCTAGAAGAAGAAGCATTGGACAACAAATTCAGGGTATCCTGCTTTTTGTAAAATTAATTGGTGCTGTTATTAAAACAACTGTACATTTAAATTTCAGAAATCTAATAATAATAATAAGACTTAGTTCAACACGAAAATACGTTTCAAAGAGTTTTATTGATCAATTTTATCTAAACTGGTTGTTAAAAGTGGCTGACAAAAATTTAAGTTACCGGGATGCTACACATGCAATTTTACTACGATTTTTTGATTATAAGGTGGATTTTTCCAACCGACCTTTTTGGGCAGGGCATGAACCGCCATTAACAAAAAAGCAACGCCCGACCACCAAGGCCCCCTATGGTTCCCTACGGACCCCTTAGAAAAATGCCCAATGTGTCCACAGTATTTTTGCGTCGAATTCCTTTCTGCGTAGGCGGCCTTCGGCCGCGCTTAGGGATTATAACCCTTACTACGTAGAATTCTCTTTTCTGTGTGACCACCCCAGTGATGTAACCTTGCGAAAGGATGAGGTAACTAGAATTCCCTTTCTGTGTGGTAAACCTGGGGATGCCGCCCCAGTGATGTCTATTTTGGTTACTGGGTGTTTTATAAAAATGTCTTGTGTATAAAAATGTGTATATAAAAATGTATTGTGCAAATGAATATTTAACATTTTTCAAGCAAATAAACGCAAATGAAAATTGTGATTTTTGGAAATTTTTCTAAGGGGTCGCTAGGGGACCTAGGTGGCCGGGGGTTGCATTTTTGTCAATGGCGGCTCATTCCCTCTCCAAAAATGTGGGTTAGAGGTGCCACGCCTACTTACCTTTCGCCCACCGCCCCTTTAACGAATGGCCCTAAAGGAAAGCCAACCCATTATAGGAGTAAAAAAGGCAAGTTGATGTGATCGATAATCAAATTTGAACGTTTTTCTCAAGCGTAATGGTAAGACCGCACTAAGCGACGCGACACTGTATATCGGACTGAAACTGCAGCGGCGCGACACTTCGCTGCAAATTTTTTAATTTATTTGTGTCAAAACCTTCAAACAAGATGGATGCCAGTGACGCTGATGTAAAGTTAATGCCTTTTATTTTTATTTTCCTTGGCGAATTCTTCTCAAATATTATGTTTCTTTACATACAATTTTCTTCTTTAATGAAATGCATGTGATTATTCACTCACAATTGGAAATCCAATTACTTCAAGTTAAAAATATAGTACGAAATGGTATGTCGTTCCGCTAGGTATACCGCACTATGCGGCACCGGAAGTGCACATGAACCAAAAATACATGATCACGCCCTCTTCTTAGTAGCCCGTTATAATCGCATTTAGGAAAAAAGTTGGGCAACTTTGACATTAGCCGTTTGTTTACATTTGTTCGTTGTTTGCAATTTGGTGGTGGCTTTTTACTGCAATTTTCTTAATTTTCGCTTGTGACAACGTGTGCACACATAAGGTAAAGAATAATTTAACACAACGACATGATTTATAGAAGAATTTGCATAATAAAAATTATTATTCATGCGTTCAACAATTACGCGGTTTTTTTTGTTCTCTTCGTTGTTTACTTCTTCCAACAAAGATGGCGTCGAGATTTCAACAGCTAGAAAATAACTTTTCTTTCTTTCGGGAAGGCGTGATCTTGTGTCTTTCGTTCATGGGAACTGCGCGACACCACGCGACGCGACATTTTTGCAGTTGGTCAACTTTGCCGCGTAGCGTCGCGTCGCATAGCTCCGCTGCAGCGTAGTGCGGTATGCTCCATAAGAATACATGCCAAGAATATTTTGCCGCGCTGTGTAGTGTCATGTCGCGTCGCCTAGTGCGGTCGTACCTTAAATTTTACCTTTGAAGCAGTGTTGCCGACTTTTCATTTTCAGAAAGCACCAAAAACTTGGAAAAAAGGCGTTTTACCAAACTAAAAGCACCAACTTTTTTTTAATCAAAGGATGCTTTTTTCGTAACAATTTGTATTTAACAAAAGCAAAAAATTAACAATATTTACAAGAATACATACATAAATCAATACAGAAAACTTTTTCGCTCATAACGCTTGAATAGCGTCTAAACATGCCATGATGACTCATGCTCATGAACCAATTAGGACAGATCTGACCGGTTGAGAAGCAGCCATTTGTAATAGCATTGAGAAAGAAGTGCGTGACGTTCATAATTTTGAAGTTTGCTATTTCTGTTTTGCTTCTTTCTTTATATGTATTTTATCGGTGGTTTATTTCAGTGATTTTTACGTGATTTTTTGTGCAAATGTAATTAAAATGAAGTGCGCGGTGATTGGATGCAAAAACACGTACAAAAATAATAAACTGGTTAGCACAAACATGTGCACAACATTGCTTGCATTTTTTCTTTATGCTTCGTCTTCATATTCTTTGTTTACTTTTCTTAGAAAATAACATGGCGCCGAAATTACAAACGTCAGCCGGAAAATTACTTTTTTCTTTTGCTTCATCTTGTCAGATCTTGTGTAGTTGGATCATGCATCAAACGTCGGTAAAAGAAACAATTGTACCCACTTTTTCATCCCTGATCCTGACAAGCTTTTCGATTAATTATCGACTTTAGATGCGTTGTGTAATTACTACGAAGCAACCCTGTCTACTGTCACCGCATTAAAAATCTAGATTACTTTTTGTATTGCATAAAAGATGGCGTCCAAAGAAGATAACGTTTCTGGCGAAAATCCAGGTAATTATCCAAATGCTTCTAATCAAATCTAGTATAATATCAAACACGGGTTAAAATCGAATAAATCAAATACCTCAGACAAGTTCTGGATATCGCTTTTCGTTTTCATTAGTTATTTGTGTCTGAAATTTTCGGCATCGCTGTCTATACATACATACATAATTTTGTACTTGTGACATCTGAACAAAGATAAAAACGTGAGCCTCGTGAATCGTTCGATAAAAATGTACATATTTGGGGGCAAAACGAAAAAATATTAATTGCATTATGCCCTTAACTGAAGTTTATTTAATCTCATTTATTTCCATTGAAAATATTTCAGTTCGGCGAACGAGATCAGGCAGAAAAGTTGTAGCTCCTCCAGCAGTTCCAACTCCAGTACGCTCCACTAGAAGGACAAAACGAGGTGCGCCAGAACAGGTTAGTACAAAGAACTTTATTCTTAATTAATAGAGTACATCATGCAATATTGATGAGAGATGCATGTTTGTGTAAGTGTGGCGAGGTTCCACTTACATATGATTTGCTATAGCTAACGTGATTTCATGCAAGGGCCAACTGAATTATTAACTAAATTCATGTGGCGCTAACATAACATTCATTAAAAATAAATACTTCTGAAAATTATACTTATTTAACAAATAGGTTACAGAAACAGACGAGGACGAAGTCCAGCTTATACCTACAGAAAAGGAGACGATAAACACACTCGAAAATCAATCAGACGTTATTAAAGAAATGTTAGAAGAGGCAGCGCAAGGTGTTATTATTGACATCCCAGACGGAGATGACGATGTTATAATTTATGAAGAGGAAATTATAGAATCGGAACAAATAGTCGACGATGATTGCATTGTGTATGAAGAACAATTGGGTGAAGAAGAACAATTGCCGGAAGAAGAACAATTGCCGGAAGAAGAACAATTGGCGGAGGAAGAACAACAACCGATCGAAGAAGATGTTGAAATGTTCACTGTGCCAGAAGAAGAGCAAGTGAACACAGAAGTGCCCGTTATATCAGAAACAGGACTCGACGAGAAAAGTTCCTCGTTTCCATTTGGGCCGACAGGAGGCCAGTCCGAAACATCAGAAGATGTACACAACGAAGAAGGTACGGCTGAGACTGGAGTGGTAGAAAGTTCTTTATTAGCTTCTCTGGCAGGAGACAATGCCAATAGTTTACCCTCGGTAGGAGGTGGTGAAGAAAATGATGGTAAGAAGGATGACTTTGAAACAAAAGTAACGCCAGAATTGCCAAATTGCGAAAAAATGGAATCGGACGATTCACTATCCGAACCAGCCATTGCAGAAGAGCTTGGCACTGGGGCCGATGCAAGCAATGCTACTATTGTAAACACGGAATTAGTTTCAGAAGACGAACTCCCTTTACCAACAAAGCCCGAAATAAATGATGCAGAAGAGGTCTCAGATGATGAGCTCCCAGCACCACAACGTGCTGAATTGCCTGCAGATGCTGAAGTTATATCTGAGGATGAACTGCCTACTGCAACAGGTCAAGCAGAGAAGAAATCACCACCTTCATCCCCGAAAACTCCCATCAAAAGTAATTCTTCACAATCGGTTTCTTCTAAGGAACCTGTTGGTCAAAAACGCAAAGCTGATGATGCCGACAAGATCGATTCGAATCATGAAAAACAACGTAAGGTGGAGGACTCGAAGAAAAAAAGCGATGAACAATACAATCCAATGAGTCCTACATCAGAGAGTAATGATGGATCGCCCACTATAACAGTAGAAAAGAAAACTAAAGTGGATAGCTCCGGGGGTAAGTTTTTTTAACACTTTTAGTTCGAATGAAAAGTTATATCGCGCCCGTTTTATAGAGAGTGAACACAAAGAGAGAAAAAGGGAGAAAGAAAAGGAGCGTGAACGCGAAAAAGAGAAGGAAAGAGAAAAGGAGAAAGAAAAGGATAAGGAAAAAGAAAAAGAAAAGGAACGCAAACGATTGCCTGACTTGGATAAATACTGGCGTGCAGTGAAAGAAGATCCCGCAGATTTCACTGGTTGGACATATTTGCTGCAATATGTTGACAACGAGGTACGCAAATTCTGGCAATTGAATTGCTCGCAGAAGCATGAGTGTGGTTCTTGAACAAAAGCTAAACGAAGTTCACTAATTGCACTTATGTGGCTGCAACCAAAATATTTTCTGTTAATAAGTAGATTTAAAAAAAAAACACTTTGTAATCATTTAGTCTGATCCCGAGGCCGCACGTGAGGCTTATGATGCATTCCTATCGCACTATCCATATTGCTATGGCTATTGGCGCAAGT